CCCTTCCTGAACCCATGCTGACTGGGCCTTGAGATCCTTGAGATGATGTGCATGTTTGCTGTATATTAAACCTCACTAAAGAGCTAGTAATTAATCATCAAAACTAATTATTTTCAATTAAGTACTAACACCATTCCTATGAGATTTCAAATTGCAGTAACATACCTTTTAGATTTGCATAAAGTAAGACTTCCAGTAATGCACTAACTTTTCAGTAACAACAGCTATTACTGAATTATTATGATGATTTAATAATAATGCAGATGGCCCACCTCATAAAGGTGAGTCCAAAGCCAAGATGAGTTGGTGAATACTCCGGTTGCAGCAGACCCCAATGCAACATCCATGGCACCTACAGAAACACACCATCAAGGTTATACCAAAAAGCAAAGGTCTTCTGCATTCTGACTCCACATAGAACTTTACATTTTTACTTCCCATTCTCAGGAATTTCTCAAGTCTGCAAAAACTAAAGATTTTAGTACACTTGCATTTTTAGAAGTTTAAATGTTGTTAAAACGTTTATGTAACTTGCTAGGACAAGAATTAATAAAAATTCTATTCTGAATCTCATGAAACTAGATTTTCTGGTTTCAGCATGATGTTTCTTAGCAATGTTTCTAATATAATGTATTCAGCAACAACAGCACCTTCAAAAAAAAAATTGTTTCCATATGGAAAATATATGTGAGGGCACTTTTTCCAATTTATAAACCTCTACAATTTTGAGCTGGCACTTTCCCTTTTGTGAATTTCACTTGCATAGATTTTTGCACAGCATATGTGAATTTAATTTAAATGAAAATAATCCTTATCAAAATAGTAAACCATGCTTAAACCAGAAGGATTACATACATATTTATTTATTATATGCCACAGAACGGCTTCTCTAATGCCAACACTTGGCATCCAAGGACTCCAAACATGGAATCTTTGATAGAAGGAGGAGTTTACTGCCACCGTAACACCCTTTATATGGGAATCATTTTATACAAGCCAATGATCTTAGAAGTGGCTTCCCTTCTGTCTACTGAAATTTTCTATAGCATTTCCAGGGAGCTGAGAGGGCTTAGCTCAGAAATGGAAGCACGGGGAAACATTGTGCAGAAACACTGAAGTCTGCATAGGTTTTCCCACTTTTAGTTCAAGTTCAGCTGAGCCAGTCCAACTTCATCTACATTGCTCAGTGTGTACCCTGCATGCCAATACCCTCCATGCCAATGCCCTCCGCAGTCCTAGAGTCACGGTGCAGCTGTATAAGGTGTCTGAGCATAAACTGTGCTAGCTGTTGTCCTACGACATGTAAAAATCATCTCTGTTGCTTCCAAAGTCACGTTGGTTTTATGTACACAATGCAACTAATCCACAGTCCAATTAATGAGAGTAACAAAGGACTGACTTGCAAAATGAGCAAGGAAGAGAGACTGCTTACCTGTCAATGTCGCAGCATTCAGAATAGCCCTTGCATTAAAATTGTGGGCATAACAGAGAGCATCAGCTAACAGCAGTCTTCCTTCTGCATCTGTGTTATCTACCTTCAGATGCAACACCAGTAAAAAGATTAGCTACTGAAAACATCCCTTTCACTGGCTTATTTAAAAAAAGAAAATAGTATTCATATACATTTCTAAAATAAAAGCGTATCTGTAGCTGAGGTCAAGTCATCCTTCAGCAACCTTCCCTGCATGCTGTGCCTCTGGCTCCTCAAAAGCCAGAGGCTGGTGAGGTGCCCCAGGGGAGGACAGGGGCTGGTTACCTTTACCAGCACAGCCTCAGGCATCCCAGGGGCTGCTTCTGAGCAAGCCCAGGGGAAGGGAACTGCAAAGGAGAGGGTACCACAAAGCAGCACAGATGTATGCCTGGAAACAGTTTCTTATTATACTGCTTTCATTTTGGATCTTGAAACTTTTTTCCCCACTTAATAAAAAAAAAAAGTAAAAAAAAAAATCAGTAGCTACTTCACCCTTTCAGTTAAAATTCTGCAAGATTAATGGCATGGTGTGCTCCGAGCTACTAGCACTTTCTTGCAAATTTCTTCTTGGTGGGGGAGTACGTGCCCAGTCTTTTCCCTCAAAGCAGAGGGTGACTGACCTCAGTTCTGGGAGAAGAATCTCAAGGAACTGGAAGGTTCACCATGTCAAAGGTGGCAGAATCATAGAAATCCAGACAGAGAAAAATACTGATTAAGCCATCTCCTACTGCATTACATCAGTGGTCTACATCACAATGACTTTCAGTATCATTTAATCTATTAGATGAGTACGGAACCGTTTGGATTAAATATGAAATATGTACTGATCTGGCAAGCTCCTCTGAACCAACAGCCCTTATCACTCAGAGTTCTGATGGTACAGAGCAGCTTGGCAGTGTAAAGACCTTGGTTACGTCAGGAGGAAACTAATACTCTTATGGCTTACTCCAGATAGCAGAGGTGTCCTGGAAGGTCTGCTGGAAGCAGTTAATACATTATTCATTCTGACCGAGAACCTGTATTTATGAGCATTTTAACAGCCTCTTCTGCTAAAATGAGATTTTCCACCATACTTTACAGCTTTTTCTAGCAATTTATAAAACATATCTAATCTCTTCAATCTATATTTATATTTGAATGAATTCTATGATAACAATTTCTAATTAATAACATGCTGCTTAGATTTTTAAAAACAGTACATTTGAACTGCTTATCTTTTTAAAGGATCCTTTCAAACACATACTCTGACTGCAGTACTGTAACTTGACTGATTAAACCAATCACTGAAAGTATTCAAAATCCAAGTTTCACATGCATACCTGTATTGTTTTTCCATTCTTGGCTCTAACTACATCCCCAGGCTTGTTTGCCTTACCACTGGGCATATTTTCACAGAGGGGTGCCAAACCTCAGAGAGAAAAAAGTACATTACTAGTTTCTTTCTCAGAAACAGACGTAGAAAAAGAAACAAACCCCGCACTTAGAAAAAAAACCAAATACCTCTTTAGGAAAACAGTATTATTCCCATCTTGAATTTATGTTCAAAATTCAAATTTTCCTAGTTACTGAAAGATACATGGTTCAGTTTACAATCAGGGAAACTTCTCTGCATGTTGTACCACCTCATTTTCTCACCTATACCATTTTATCACTGGGATTTACTTCTACTTTATGCCCAGACAAGTGAGATCAGAGAAGCAACAAATATCATCTTATGTCTTCCATATATGAATAATTAGTCATATGTAAAGGGATTTTTTTTCTTTCTGAAATGAAAAACTTCTCAAATTAACACTCTGAGCCATTCAAGCTCTGCTCATTGTAAATTAATGTTGCATAGTGTCAAGAGGGGTCTAAGGACTTGCCATAAAATTCCAACTGTAAGAAGAGCAAATAGAGACGAGCAAAAAAAGAGAGGGTCAGTGTCAAAACTCCAACTATGAATAGGATAATGGGATGAAAGGCACTCACTCCACCATCCTAGGGAAAACCTGCTCCTGGCACAAGGAATAAGCAAGTTGTGGAGCGCCACTTTTAAGTGGAATTAGAGGCACAGACTTCTGCTCCACTCATTCAGCCCTCCCATTGCACACCTTTCAGTGAAGAATGTTGCAAGGCCGTGTGTTTTGCTGCCCTCTACTGGTTGCAGCATAAAAGTGACTAAAATACTAGTTCCCTGAAAGTCAAGGTTCTCAAACATACTAAAACTTATGCTAGAATGGATTACATATCATCACCAACTGGTTTTGCTACGGTTCCTGAATAACCTCATTTAATTAAAGCTGTGCAAAGTTTCTGCAGAAAACATAAGCATTGTTGGTACTTAAAAACAGCATTCAGCAGACTGGTTTAGTTTGTTTTAGATTTCTGCTGAGATATTCACCTAAGGAAACAAAAGCCGATCTCTCTTCCTGTTCAGCTGTGGTAAATACTCATGGAGGTAGCTCAGCTAATTTCTATTCATTTTTAATTTCTTTTACAGATATCTACACTTCTTCTTGTAGTGAAAGATCAGAACTTCTGAAAAAATTGCTGAAAATAAGTTTCTTGACAATCATTTCTCACCTAAGATCTAAAAATCATGCCTTCAAAATTATAACTCAGTGTTGAAATATTTATGCAAACAAAGCTAGTAATTTTCATAAGTCTGTAAAAATGGAAGAGGAGCTGAATTAGACAAGGGAATTAGACAAATCTGCAAGAGTCCATGGCATTTCTGTAAGACCATGATCACTGCTGATACTAGAAAGTTACTCTGTAAAAAAGAAATCGTGTACAATTAGGATTTTTGGATTCTCACACAAACACACTTACCAATTATGTTAAGAGGTAGGTTTAAAGCTGCTGCTGTCACAATGGCCGAACAGATGGTGGCTGCCCCTCCCATATCTGCTCTCATCGCATCCATACCTGATGATGGCTTCAGTGAAATGCCACCACTGGAATCAACAGAACAAATCTCATCCAACATGTAGGAGCTCAAAGTTGTATACATCGATAATACCCTGTTCATCGCTGTGTTTTAGCAACAAATACGAGTACATGTGTTTTCAGATATTCCTGCAATGCCTTAACCAGCGTACTGAAAGCAAGGTATCCGTGTTTTCATTTCAGATAAAATATGTCCATGAATTATTTCCTCATAATTAAGATGCCATAACAATCCAAGCGATCTGCAGCAGAGTAACTCAATGATCTTTATAATAGGAAAAGAGCACAAAACAACAAAATATCACACTTGGTAAAATCAGCATATAGAAGGGAATGGACTGAAATTCCTCAGTAGTTACGTGACATGAGAAGCAGTTTTAAGGAACTGCTGCAAAGAATTAACTACTTTCTCTTTCCTTAAGTGTGATCTAGTTGTCCAGTGACAGACTAAAACTCTAAACATGCAAATTCTTCATCAAGAGGTTTTCTCAGGCCAAAACAGGAAAATATTGCAAGCTCTTTGTTTTCTTTCCCCTTGAATTTCTATTTTTCCCTTACAAGACAGGGGCATATCAATTGCTGCTTTGTCTAATCACTCAAGCTTGTCATTTCCCCAGAAAAGGCAGCACAGGCCACCCTATCGGGCAAGTTCACTGCAATATCATTGAAAGATGCGCTGTCAAAAAAAAAGCATTTCCCCATTAAACATGAACAGCAGGAAGGCATTTTCCCCCCTTTAGTAATTAAAATACTAGCATACATACCTGTCAAATGTAACTCCCTTTCCTACAAATACCAACGGGGAGTCATTTGTATTAGCACCACCTGAATAGTGAATCTCCAGAAAGATGGGAGGTTCAGCTGAACCCTTAGCCACACTCAGGAAAGCTCCCATCTGTTGTGTCGATACCCAAGACTCCGGTCTGGAATAGAAAAATATATATATATATATTTTTCAATTGGACACTTTGACTAAGGTGATTTTGTTTGTTTGCTTTTAAGAGATGACAATTCTTGAAGGCTTGCACACAAACTATTAATTCCATTTTAGTTATTTTGGAAGTCACTGTTTAAATCCAACAATTATTACTTTTTTTGTGTGAAGCAAAAATAGCACCTCAAAGCTGCTGCTTGGGCTTTGTTTTGTCTTGTTTAAAACAACAACAACAAAACAACTAGTCTACACTTTCTGTATCAGAAACACTGAACTTTCACTTGCCTATCAGGCTGCAGACTCTGAAGGCATACGGAGTAACAATACTGCAGCAAGTTACAGTTTAACTTTCTACTCTCAAGATGGTTAAGTACTGGTTGATTTCATTCAGTCTTTTGCTTTTCAACAAAACTGTCTCCAACACTTACACAACCACTTAGTCTATTTCCATGAAAGTGCAGTAACTAGAAGTGCCGAGGCAAGAAGCATTAACCGTGCAATGCAATTCCAAAGGTTTTTACGACTCCATCTCAACATTTTTAAAAGCTAAAAAAAGCCCCAACAATAAGAGCAACAAATAGAAGGTGTTTAATTACCACATCCAAACAAAAAAGCAAAGGTATGTACAAAAATCCTTCTGGGAAAAAAACAAAAGGTATTAGAAAAAAGGGTAGCTAGTATTTGCCCTCTATTCTCCGAGTCCTCATTAGGCTTCCTCTTTCACAGCACGTGTGTCAATTAAGCAGTAATTAATTGCATGACTAATTGATAGTTAATCATTTTGCTGTGCTGCAATATCTTGCTTACTCTGCTAACCAGAAGCTCACCTTCTAATACTGAGAGCAGCTTGCAGTCTGGGCACCTCTCATACCTTTTTGCCAAACATTTCCCCTGCTTTTGTCATCTGAAGTGGCAGAGTGAAAAGTGTACGCCACAGATTTGAATAGCCTGGGAGGTATCTTCTATAGAGGAATCATTTAAATGAATTTACCTTATATGGACCTTCACATTGCTGAAACTTCTGAGCTTCTGTTCAATATGTTCAGCAAATTTGATAGGAGTTATATAATTAGCAGGAGCCTCCATAAGGTACCGAGCAAGGTTCTGACCCTCAGCGTAGGTAACACCTTTTTGCCAGGCTTCACTTTCAGCACTAAACAACACATACAATAAATAGGACTATAAACATTTGCAAAAGTAAGATGTTGTCAGCATCCCTCTGTTCTCTCCTGTTTGAAAATGTGGTATCATTAACTTAGGGAAATTAAGAATGTCATAGTAATCTTACTAACAGGAATTTAGGATGACATCCAAGGTGCATCTAGTTTAGTAACTCATCTCTAGTTCTGGTCACTGCCAAACGCTTCACAGAAAGCTAGAAGAATCCTAGAGCAGACAGACGTAAAACTGTCTAATACATTAGGTCTTGTCCTAATCCTTACTAGTCAGAGATCACCTTAAATCCTTAAGCACAAGATTTAATATCCCTTCCAAAATTTGTAATCACATTAATTGTAACAGCCCTGAAAGTTTCTATTTAAAGCCTCCAGTTCTGTTTTTCTCTTTACTAAAATATGATTCTGTGATAAGAGTGGAACTCGGATCTCATTTCACAGTGCACTCAAGGCATTTCACTAATGAATGACAGCAAACATTTGAAGATCCGCCTACACAGGAAACAGGGATGTCTCTCTGGTTACTTTACAACACTACCAGTACAAACTCCTTCATTTTCCTGAGACAGAATTGAAAGGCTTATTTGCTTAAAGAGATATCACAAAACTGGGCATTATGCTGGATTCTGCCTCTCAGAAGAGCAACACAGTGAAGAGGGAATCCAGGAGGAATTGCCTGGATATGGAGAGATGGAATTAAGAAGCCACATCTCAGCTGACACTGAAACTGGCAAGAAGCAGGAAAGGCAACAAGAGGACTTCAACAGGTACCCCATAAGCAAAAGGAAGGTCAGGGATAATGCCATCCTGTGGCTAAATGGGGCAGACAATCTAGTGAACACAGAGAAGACTGAAGTTCTCAGTGCCTGCTTTGTGTAAGTCAGTGATTATTAATGTCTGCTTCCAGATCCCTCAGTTCTTTTTGCTTAGTAACAGTCTGGGGAAGAAAGGTACTACCCAGGGCAGAGGCAGAAAGACTTAAGACTATTTAAGGAAGCCAAACATACACAAGTCCTTGGTAACAGGCAGGGTATATCCGAGGGAGCTGGCTGGCATCACTGCAAGCCTTGTCTCTTTCCGTTTGAAAGCTCATGGCAACCGGATGTGATCTCTGATTACTGAAAGAGGACAAGTACTTATCTTTAAGAGCAGCAAGGAGGACATAGGGAACTACAAACCACTTATCCTTGACTAAATCCCTTGAAGTTTTATTAAGTCATCTTGGAAGCCATTTTCAGGTACATGAAGGACAAGATGGTCACTGGGAAACATCATCGATTTATTTGGGGCAAACATGCCTGACTAACTTGACTTTATGATGAGAGGTCCACAGAGGAAGTAATTTATCTTGTCTTTAGCAAGACTGCCATGTATAATCCTGGCAGACAAACTGAGAAAACATGAACTGGAAGGGTAGACTACAAAATGCATGAAAAACTGGAACTGCTAGGCTCAGAAGATAGCAGATACAGCTGAATGATCTAGCTAGCAGTTCGTTATGTGCGGTGTTCCTCAAGGGTTGATACTGGGGCCGACATCTTCATCAACACCTTGGACAATGAAATGCACCCTCAGACAATTACAAACAGCATCGCATTGTGGGGAGCAGCTGGAATGGAGTGGGTAGGGCCACCATTCACAGGGGCCTTGGCAAGCTGGAGGAATGCACCAAACTGAAGACCACGAAGTTTAACAAAGATTGGTGTGAGGTCCTGTACCTGCGACAGAACAGCTCTGTGCAACAGTCAGGCTAGAGACTGACTGAGCAGAAAGTAAAGCTGCAAAAAAGAACCTGGGGATTCTGACGGACAAGTTGTACAGGAGAAAGCAGCGCACTACCATAGGTGACAAAGGCCAGCCATGTACTGGGTTGGATTACAGCACAGCCAGCATGTTCAGGGTAATAACTGTTTACCTCCTTGGCATTTGTGAGCCTGTATCTAGCTATTTCCACTGCTGAGCTGCTGAATACAAAACAAATACTGATAAACTAGAGAAAGTCCAAAGGAGGGCCTCTAGGAGGGGTAAGGAGCTGGAGCATGCAGCATCCAAGGAGAAGCTAAAAGAATTGGCTTTGTTTGACCTAGGGAAGAAAATTTTAGGAAAGATCTAATTGCAGTCTTTCTTCCACCCTTAAACAGGGTTTATAGAGAAGGTGAAGATACACACCTCAGAGCTGCACAGTAAGAGGGTAAGAGACAGTGGGCTCAAGATTCAACAAAGGAAACTGCAATAGGACAAAAAGAAAAAACATTCACCAGGAGCATAGTTAAGCACTAGAACAGATGGCCCAGTGAGGTTGTGAAATTTCCATCTCTGGACATATTCAAGACTGGACTAGACAAAGGCCCGATCAACCTGATCAAGCTTTGAAGTTATATGTAACTTCCAGGTTATCATGAATCCAAGTTGGAGCTGGACTAGATGACCTCCAGAGGTCCTTTCCAACCTAAACTATTATATACAAAAAATACTTCCAGTGTCATAAGTAGTCATAGGACAATCTATGTTTATGTTTTCAGGAAATGTTTATTTAATATAAACATAATTGGCTCCCAAACTATCTGCTGTGTTACAAAATTGGAAGAGTGTTGCACGTGGCTTATCAAGACATGCTTAAATTGAGAGGTTTATATTTTATTTCTCTAACTTCCTCATAAGAAAAGACCTGTTCCTGTATAAAGTACATACAGGAAATATCTCTCTTCTGTGTGACAGAACATCCTATATGGAGAGTCCAAAGTTCCCACTGATGGAGTAACAGGCGATTAATAAAACTTTGTTCTGGAACCAAAACTCTGATATCACTTTCTCCTCTCAAGTAACAGCGATGGCTCTTAAGAGACCAGAAGCATCCAAGCTTCCCTTCTAGCATTATGTTCCGTGAATGAAAATATACCAAATTAACTATGTAAAACTATCCATTTGGCATGTCTGGTGTCAAGTAACATTTCCCAATTCTGAAAAGGATTTATGCATTTATGGAGTCTGAATTACCTCTGCTCCACAATTTTGCCATGTAATACCAACTAAAGTCCTTTTATGTCACAACTATACTTCAAGGAATCTTTAAACTTTTATTTTTATCCTGGGCCTCTTTTTCTATGAAGCAGCATTTATTTACCCTTAACCTTGGAACATGGCATGCCAACAAAACATATGGAGCAAACACTGTAGATATACTTTAGGAAATTCAAAGGAGTAGGAGTCAAGAGGGATACTGCTGCTAGCCCTATTATTTCAGTTTTACGTTTTTCTCATGCACAAGCACGCACACAGTTTTAGAAATAAACAAACAGGTAAATAAATAGGCAAGTTTTCCTTTTGCCATCACCTTCCATGAAGCTGAGGAATAACTACAGGTTTCTTTTTTTGCTTCAGCTCATTATACTCATGCAGTCCAAGGACAGCACCTTCTGCAGCTGCCTGAGCATCTCCACAGGGGTCTACTTCAACACAAGGAATCTCCAGGTCTTGGATCTGTCTACAGCCAACTGAAAAACACGGTACAGAATTAGGAGGCTAAGTATTTCACGGATCAGCAAAACAAGTGTCTGAGGTGATCAAAATGACACTTCTAGGAAAAAAAAATTAACTCAAGGTATCTGAGTTTATAAGTAAATCAATTAAAAAGATCATGCAGTAGAAAAATTAAAAATGCTTATGACCATATACTGACAAATTTTGACTAAAAATATCACTTGATGAGTTGTAATGATTAAGAAATTCCACAAGAATAAAAAGGCAAGTCCATAGTTGCTCTGATTCCTTTAAGCACACTGTCTCAAGGAAAAGCTCTGTGATTCTGGAGCACTATGGATTATGATTATCTACAAGTATCAAAATTTTGCTGTAATTTCGTTTTTTGCTAAGAATAAATGACTGTTCTTTTCTTCTAAATGCAGTTCCACACTTTTATAAACAACCAACAAAAATAATAATACATTCCATAGATTCTATTTTGTACCCAAATAATTTAACTATGTTATGGCAGCTGGTGAGACAACACGGGCTAGCACTTTGGACACAGAGCTGTGATACATATGTGACTGGCCTCCAGTCTCAGATTATAAACTCTGCAGTGAGAACTCTTTTTATTCTTGTTTTATAAGTACTCAGATGCAGCAGTTATCCTTGAGTAAGACAAAAAGGCCTCCTCTGCCTATGACAGATAACATACTGAATCATACTTACTGATGCTGTGAAAGACACCAGTTTATAACACAAGTATCTTGGTTACAAACTAAGTGGCAAAAGTAAGTATGTGCATACTTAAGCACAGTGTGAGCATAAATGGAATCAGTGATGCTCTCAGGTTTCAAAATAGTAGCAATTAAACAAGTGCATTTTCAATAACACGCTGGTTAGGAATATTATTTGATATAAATAACTGGAGTTTTCTGTCTGCAGATTAATTTACATGCCCTGTAACACCTTTCTCACTAAGGAAAAACTTACAGGAATATCAGTGACAAGTAAATGCATTTACCAAACCATGCAATAGGTTCTGCATTTCAAAACAAAATAATATCTAGAGTGACTCTTAAAAAATGGAAGACACTGCACCATCGCAATAGTTTTATAGACAAAATGCTTAAGAAAATGTAAATTAAAAGAAAAGGTTAACCTGCAACAGCTGCACGAATATTTTCTTTGCCTTCATTCCAGTTTTCTTGGTCATTTACTCCAGCATTCTTCTTACCCAAGCCAACTACAACCACGCTCGGAAAGTCCTAGATGAAGCCAACACACAAATGGGACTCGCTTTCCTCATTGTTAAAGCCGCAGCAGAGTTGTTAAAAAAAGCATTGCTTTCCAAATGAAGCCAAGCAAAATATTAAAGTACACTCAGTACTTTCTCTACATTACGCACGTTTCTACATTAAGAGTGCCAAAATGGTGCCACTGTCTTGCACTCCCAGTCATTTGCCACAGGCATGCAACCAGTTGTTCTGTTGTCCAGTTAATTACGTATACTGCAGCAGACAGGGCTTTATGCTCAACATGTAGCAAACTTGACACTTCTAAGGGCAAGCCTAAGAGTTCTTTGAAAGCAGATCCAACTTTCCAGCTGCAACAAAGGCCAGAACAAAGCTGGAGAAGTGTAACCATTTTTGGCACAGTACTACGTTCAAGGAAATAAGATCACTTGAAAGGCTGAGCCCATCAGCCCACCTGAGCTGGCACAATTTGCCAGGTAACAAACCAAAGCTGCGCAGAAGTACGTGGCTACAGAACTCAGGAAAGCAATGTAACACAGCAGCATAAATGCTTGCCTTATAAGCTGCAAGTGGAAGGCAAAAAGGAAGAAATAATGAAGATTAAAGAAGCGTTTTAAGAATGAAGTAAAATTTGTATAAAACTCCAGGTTATGCATGTGAACAGATTTCCCATTGCTCTGAAGAAAAATGAAGCTAATTTTCAGCTTTCCCTTCCATTATAAATAGCTGCTCTGTCAGATTCCAACAAACAGCTTTCAAATTGCTACATTGTAGTAAAGTCTTTTAGTCCACAAGATTCCAGAAGATCGGTGATTCAAGTTCAAATTTTTTAGTTATCATTATGTTATGCACTTCAAAGGGTGTGTAAAGCTAAATTCTCCTGCTTTCTCTTGCAGAAATTTGCCACTTATTTCATACTGTCTGCAGAACTGGGACAACGGGACCTTCAGTGGACTCAACTTCCATGAAATTTCTGAGAGCCTTTCTACTGAGTCTGGTGTCACCTGTCTGAGGTCTCCACACAAAATTTATACATGGTAGGCAATACTCACTGCATAATGATTTATTTAAAATACTTTAAATAGCCTTAATGGAAGGTTCAGTTACTTAGACAGAAACACCTAGCGTCGTATTACTTGTCTGCCTAGCCTCTAGCTACTAACTTAAAAATGCACAAATTGTACCATATTTGCCAGCTCCAGGCAGCTGCATTAGATGTATTAGGGCTTCTCAAATGGCACCAAAAGCCTAACTTTAAGCAGATGAATCCCCATCTCATACCCTTCAGATATATCAGGTCTGGGCAGACAAAAGTCCTGTTTGAAGAACAGCCTCATGTCTTGTTTTCAGAGGTTTCAAGTACATGACCTTAAAACCCCTGAAGCCTATGATGGGATTACCTTGTGTTAGAACTGTCATGTCTGGAAGGTCTTTGCATGTATCGGTACACATGAACACAGAAGGCACAGTAGAAGTCTGATCCAAAACTGCTGTGCTTCAGCTCATTCAGTAAGCAGTTATTTAGAGCACACCACTTTTGGAGCAGACTCGTTTACAACTCCAGCATGGTGGAGGGAGTATAGGATTGTGCAAAACCCCAGGTAAACATGGGGACTGCAGAACAGGAGGTTTCAGTAAGAACCACATCTTTTCCAGAGAGTGGGGAAGAGCCAAGCTTTACACAAGCAGAGCAGTGAACTCAGCTTAAAATAAGATGCAAGGGTAAACCTCACACATGAGTCAATATGCGCACAAAAATCCAGAGTTCATACCTGATGCAAGCCATGGAATATGCGCGTTTTGCCTTTCTTCAAAGGTGGCCCACATCTAGGACACAAAAAGATTCTTTAAGCCCTTACTGGTGATAAATCTTACAGTACTACGTTCACTCCACAACCACACAGTGTTCCTTAACACTACTGGGACACTTGGCTTAGTGCTGAGTCACGGAAAAGGACAGTCCCCATGAACGTTTCGCATCTGTTTCCTCAACACTTGGTTTTTCCACAGGAGTTTCCTGCCAAACTGCTTGGCCTATTAAAAGCAAATACCAGTCTGAGAAGTGGTATGGATACAAACACTAATAATTATTTAAAAAGATAATTCTTATTGGTGTTTGTAGGCACTTTAACCCATTTCAGAAGCTTATGGCACACTTACACAGACAGAAGTTCTCTCAACTTTCCAGACACAAGTCTATCGAAAGCATCTCCTGCACTAGTGAACTGGGCAGCACTGTCATCCTTGTCACTTGAGTAGATTCCCAGAACAAGACCCTAAAAAAGAATATGCATTAACGTAAACAACACAAAATGTAGAGACCCATCTGAAAGGTAACAAGCACACTGTTCAAACCACAGCTACTGCTGTAGATATTAACCTCAGTTTATGTATTTATCTGATATGATGCAGAGAGAGACACTTCGGTAAACCAGGACAAACTACTACAACTACCACGAAGCACAAAAAATAAATTAGATACAGTATGACTAAAGGTATAATCATTTTTCCTGATACACAGAGACAAAAACTCTTTCAATCTGTAATGTGAAGTACAAAAAAGGTTATTTTCCGCCTCCCTCCAAACACAGCTCTCCAGCCAGGTGCACCGCGGAGGAGCACAGGGATCCGCGCCACTCCCGACTCCAGCCCATCAGCAAGGCTGCGAAATGCTGGGGCAGGAAGATGGCTCTGCCCCCACCGGGAGCTTCTCCAGGGCGCAGCCTCCCAGCACGGCCCCGCCACCGACACGGCACCCACCCCAACGTCGCAGGGCTGCAAGTTAAGTCTGGGCGGCACACAGCGACCCTGGAGCTGGGCGTCGGGCGCGCTCAGCCATGAGCCGCAGAATCGAGCGGGGAGGGGGAAGGGACACCCTACGCCCCCCATGCCCCTC